ATCGATGTCCGTCGGTGATTGGCACTAGATTGCGGAACAGAGACCGATGTTCAATAAAGGAAAGAAGAACTCTATACTTTCACTCCTCATCTATCGTATAAAATGACCGCTTTAAATCTGGTATTTGACGTTAAGTATTTCTAACTATTTAAAATTTTAAATGTTATTTACATTTGTTTTGTTCAATAAACTCATTTCTTCAATTCTAATGTTGATTTTGAAGCATTTTTTCCTCAATCTCGGGACCCTAACGTAGTCTTGCTTTCCTAATACAATTATTTCCATCAATTGCATGATATCATACTCTGCCTCCTGCTGATTCCCAGGAAAAGGGGTTTTCATTTCCAGATTCCTGGGAAATTTGGAATCCCTATCCTTCATTTCGATTAAAAGCGACGTTTTCGTTCTAAAATTTATTTAAAAATGTCAAGTATGTCATATTGAAAAATATCTGAAGATTCAAAATGGCCGAATTTTAGCAGAAGTGTGAATAAAATTCATTATATTTTGCTTATGGTCTGAATCTGCTCGTATGCGTTAAAAACGTAACATATTTCTATTTTTTTCGTAACACGTTATTCACGTTGTGCCCTTTTAAATGCAAACCTGATTTTGTGTGTGTGTATTTCCTCCATGCTGAGAAATTAACATTTGACAAGAGCGTATTTTATAAAGAAAATTGATAATATCGCGTGTTCTTTTTAAAAGAGATTTACTTTAATGGACAAAAATTAACATTTTAGCAAGTTCTAAAAGTTAGATGACATTGTCAAGAAATTTGAAACAAAATATTTAAAGCTAAAAATCTAAATTTTTCAGGTACATCCCAATTTAATTCTGAAAAATTACTCTTAAATAAGAACGATAAAAGAGAGATAAAATGTAACTTCAAAAAGTTGCTTTAAATTAACTCAGTTACAACTGTGCTGAAGACCTTATGTCTTTATTTTTAGATATAAGAAAGTTAGTTTTTGGATTTAAATTAATTTGAGGATCAACCACTTAAAGGAACTTTTTCAGCACAAAACTTCACTGATTTTTAGCCTACATATTAACCCTGTAATCGAAACTTGGCGTGCCTATGCACCCTAGGCCACTTTGAAGCAATGTAATAAGCATTTGAAGTAACATACCGGTTCCACTGTCACAGTACCTTTAAATTGGATAAAAAATAAGTTGTACAAGCTGAATTGTAATTGTAATGGCATACTTTGAGTTATTTTTTGGTCTTAAGGGGAAGTTCGCGTCTTTATTTTTCTAAAAATCTTGAAAAAAATTATGAAAAATCAGAGATAATTCACATGTAAAAAGATGTTTTCTATCTCATTATGAAAAAAAAAATGAATCCTCAGCAGAACAAAAAAGTCGATGTTTAGTGATTTTTGAGACCAACTTTTTGCCACGATGACTAACATTTTTTTTGCATACAATTTTTCTTTACAATATAAAAAAAAAACTGTTTTTTTAGATTTTTGATATCTTTTTCCAATATTTTTAGAGAAATCAAAACGTAATTATTGTTTCTAACCGGTGAACTTCCCCTTAAAGTCGGACTTTGCGTAGTTGTAAACCTGGGTGCGTATACACCCCATACCATGCAAATATTGTGTACCGCTATATCTCAAGCTCCTTATCATTTAGAAGGATGATGGGCAATGGTCTTTGGCAAAGTTGGTCAGGACGCCAAGGACTGCTGGTTGCTGTACAGATAAATTTGAAATTCTCCCATTAGGTGGCGCTACTGATCATGCAAGTAAATGGTAAACGAGTGAATTGAATCTTCTTATTTCTTTGGCAGTTTCAGTTGTAAATTCACCACTGTAAAATCACTCGAACCTACCGTTTCTGGGGTGGGACCTTCTTGGGCGCAGTTATAAGAGCGGATGTAGGCGCTTCGATTGGTTTCTTCTTGAGGTTTCTTCCATCCACATTCTTTAAAACAAAGCACATTCGTCCATTTAATCACACATCACATATATTTCCATGACTAGTTTATACTATTAACATACAATTTATTTACAACACTTTACATATTTACAAGGTCCATTACACAACACAACACACATAACATACTATTAATCCTTGTGGCTCTACTCTATCCATCCTTCGTTGAGAGTCAGAGCCGACTGGCTATTGCTAAACATATTATAATTGTCGATCCCTACACTGCTAGACGATCACCGCAGTGACGTCATTAGTCTCGATCGTTATCGCTACCTAATATTAAACAATCTATTATCAGTACCGTGGTAGTGTCCGTACGAGAGGAGAGAAGGTTCGATTCTACGTGGTGAGAGTTTGGGAGAGTTTCTGTACAAACGACAGTTGCGTAGCTAGGGTAGGGTGAGGTTACTCCCGAACAGACCTTGATGATCGAAAATGATCAAAACTCATCGTCACTATGATGTATCTATTTCATGTCAATCAAGGTTGTGTTTCTAGTGATTATATGTAGTGTATGGCTGGTGGTGTAGTAAGCGTGACTGCTTCTCTGTTCAATCCCAGTTGGCGCTGTCAGGATTTTCGTTGGTGCGTTTTCCAAATAAGTCAACTCCTGAACATAATTGCACCAATAAAATCTACGACAAATTATATTTGCGTGCTCACTATCGCCATCTGGCAGCAGAATTCTAAAATGATTTATTCACCACCCAGACCTTCTGATCAACTTTACCGAAAACATCACTGGTCTAAGTAATAAAAATATTGAGATACAGCAGCACATATTATTGGCATGTGGGATGCTCACAAGCACTACCTAGAGAGAGATCTGTAAACCGCCTGGCAGCTCATGACCCCTGATAAAATATTTGCATGCTCACTAGAACCACCTAGCGGCAGAATTCAGAGTGAATCAAGCGATGGTCTGTTTTTTGATAGCAACTCATTGTTGCGGTGCTTGCTCATTGTTTTATGTTCGTTCACTTTTGCCATTGCCCCGTTGGAAGCAAACAACTACTGGATACGTCGGTGGAAATAAAGCTGACGATTAGATTCAACTTCACACATACCAGTGCGAAACTATCTATTGAAGAAATTGTGAAGTTTGCGGAATCGCTGTATTCGGATCCCACTCAGATGATCGCTACATATTGCATAGCCGTTCATCAGGTTAAAATCAGCAGATTCGATGCTTCATTATTTGCTACCCAACTGTGAGCAATATATTTTTCATTATGCCGATGGGAAGTTAGTTGAGGTACGCATGCCATCTGCTGGGCGCACCGTTCAATATGTGAGAGTGTACGACCTCCTCCCAGAAGTCCCGGTTAGCAATCTAGCATTGGTGCTGGGGAAATGTAAAGCTTGAAGTTCGGGAGAAAATTCCACCTGCTTTGGGCGGTGTGCGGCGACTGTATATGGATGTATAAAAAGAGATTCCAAACTCACTGCATTTCCTCAATCAAAAGGGGAACATATTCTATCAAGGGAACATAAATTTGTGCTTCCTTTAAAAGACGTACGGGCATCGGATAAATTCCTGTCCTAATGGGGTGTTTACATCTGTGCGGATTTGCAAGCGCTAGTGTACTAGCCAACTAGGTACGAATTTCAGTTGCTCCTGAAAATCATGCAGGTAGACGCTGATGCCATGTTTACATTATGCTGTTGAGCTTTTTTGCTAGCAGCTGGCTCATTAGCGCTATTGAAATAGCATAAGAGTAAACACCCCATAAGCAAAAGGATCAGAAGCAGCCAGTAAAACAACGAACGGAAGAAGAAAACCAACAACGGAAAAATGAAGAGACCAGTACGATCGCTGGTGTAGTGACTAGAGGTGAATCGACAAACAAGAAAGTGACGCCCGCAGACGCCGAGAAGATCACTGGAGAGAAAGTAAGCGCTTCTAAGAAACAGAAGCCACCTGTTTTCAAGTACAAAAATGAGGAGCATTACAAAACTCGAAATAGTGGCTACACCGAGAATGTCATGTCAAAGTCATGTTTAAAATATCAGGGTCTTGAGCTACAGCAGTACACAATAGTTGCATGTGGGATGCTCACAAGCCCCACCTTGTGGCATAATTCTGAATTGATCTGTGCACTTACCAGCAGCCCTTGACCTCCTGATCAATTTTGCACAAAACATTTTCCTTCTATATAATCTGAATCTGGAGATACAGCAGTATCAAAGATTTGCAAAGCATTGCACTAACATCACCTAGCGGCATAATTTAGAGTTGATCTGACCACTTCTACGCAGTCTTTGGCCTCCTGATCAGCTTTGCCGAAGACGTCATCCGTCGAAATAATCCAAATGAGATAAATTCAGAATATGAGCATGTGCACAGTAGCACCGCCTAGTGAAATAATTCCGAATTTTTCTTTCCAAAATTGTTTAGGGGCTGTTCATAAACTACGCAGGGGAAGGGGTGTAGAATTAAAAAAAAACTACGTAGTGTATGAACACCCCCTTAGTTAGATCGTACATTAGCGAATTTCATAGTATTTTTTGTCAAATAATGTTTAATATTACAGAAAAGGGGGTGCTCAAATTACTCCATATACTAAATAAATTCTAACGCATCCTCGTCCGCTCCACAACTCCGCGTTTTCATTGGTTCAAATCTTATCACTCAAAATCTATACTTATCTTAAAATTCAACTCGATACTTGTTTTTCTGCAGCAAACACTAACTAGCATTTTCGGCAGATCGTGAGTTCTGTGCCAGAGAATATGCAGATTGATGAATCAAAGCGAATAAAGAAAGGGCTTCCATCGAAAATGTGCTTAATGAAGCTTATACTTGCGGTATTTCAATTTAAGTATAGACTGCAGTGTTGCACTGTAGTCAACGACGATGTTTTATTAGTATTGTTCTGGTACGCCACGATTATTGATAACTTTGTTATTTTTTTTTATCAACAGCTCCTCCATCTTTAATCGTAACATGTTCTATGTGTAATTCAATAGCAATACAATGCGTTCTTGCTAAAAGACAAATTTGTACAATTGTTTTAATCATATGATGAATTTTCTTCTTTCCCACTCGTAAACAGAATGCGGCGTGCAAACGATGGGCCGACCGGAGACGCGGATTGTGGGTGGCAAAAACGCCCCCTTTGGGCGGTGGCCCTGGCAGGTGTCGGTCCGACGGACATCTTTCTTTGGTTTCTCGAGTACGCATCGCTGCGGTGGGGCTGTGATCAACGACAACTGGATTGCCACTGCCGGTCATTGTGTAGATGAGTAATTGAAGTCCTTTTTATTTGATCTACTATTAGTACGTGGTTTTCGATAGTTCGTGAAACGAGTGCAGAGAAAGTTTGCCGATTCCACGTGCCATCAATTTACCACGCTTTTCCATTTGGCGGGAATTTTCTTGTAATACGTGGCTGTATTTCTCGTTTAATTATTATCTAGCCTGCTGACGTCGCAGATACGGATACGGGTTGGAGAATATGACTTTTCGCACGTGCAGGAGCAATTGCCGTATACGGAACGTGCCGTCGCGAGGAAAGTTGTACATCCCAAGTATAACTTCTTCACTTATGAATTCGATCTGGCACTTGTGAAGCTGGAACAGGCTCTTGAGTTTGCCCCGCACATAAGTCCAATTTGTCTACCGGCGACGGATGATCTGCTAATCGGCGAGAATGCCACCGTCACTGGCTGGGGGCGCCTAAGCGAGGGCGGAACGTTACCATCGGTACTACAAGAGGTAAGTGGCTGACGGTGTAGGGGAAAACTTTTCAAATTACTTCTCAAACAGAGTTACGCTAAATAATTGAAGCTGTTGTGCAAACAAACTTCCTCTGCAGTTTGTTCGTTTGTATTCCTTTGCCAGGACGAGATGTTCGTTCGAGCATCATCATTCTGCCACTTAATGCTTGCACCATTACGCGCATAGTGAATTGAAAATTCGGCGCTGAATTTTGTTTACCCCGTTCGTAATGGGTGCGGTGGTGCTGAATATGCAATGAGTGCTTGGCAAATATTCTCCGCTGATGGGTTTTCCTCGGAATCTAATGAATGCTAATTTTGTTCACTTGAGGCACACATGAAACAAATATGGAAAGATTCATTTGTAGCTTGGGTGGCAAACTCTAATGACTGTTTAATAAAATCACCATTTTATTTCGAATCCAAAATGAGCGTGAGTATAAATAAATCTAAGGATGTACATTCTAAACTATGTTAACTAAATTGCAGTCAACCAGCCAATGTACAAAATCAGCCAAGCACTCAAGACTATCTTAAAGCCATTTTTTGTTGATATTTATTATATTTAATTCATTACAAGGGCTACAGTGCAATAAAGGCAAAAGCCACAAAACATAATTTAGTATCTTGTTAACAAGCATGAGCTTCAACTGGATTACACAGTTGAACAGTTGGTAATCCTTTGCTTAATTTTTCACGTTCTGAATGGGCTTTCCCCATGTAACGTGACAGGATTACCAACGATCTGGTACTGACCTATATTTGTGAGTGTGTGTGTTTTCCTCCAATCCTGCCAAAAGCTCTGCGAACGACTAGGAGACGGTTTAGTCTCCCTTTGTGCACAACAGCCTTACAGCCTTCAACAAAAGACATCAGGAATTCTCTGATGGGGAATTCATACATACACATCCATTCGTACATTCGCTCGCTTACAAGTGTTGTTCCTGATAGCACCACCATCGACGTACCAGTTTGAAAACTTTCCCATATTTATCCGAGTTAGCAACCGCAAACGCGAACAATCTCGAGGGAAGTTTGAGCTTAACCACATACATTTAGAAAATTGAATCTATTCCCAAGATTTCCCCGCCCTACCGCAACACCACCCCAGACACACCCGACTACTCAACCACATAGCAGGGAATCCACTCAACACCAAACGTTGAATGTAAGATCTGGGTTTTGCTCGACGGGCTGCAGCAGTATCTTCAAATTGCTTTTTATTTGTTTGACCTCTTCAACTGTTTATTTTTACTTCTGCTTTCTTTGGCGGCAGTTCCATCGGTCGTCTCGTCAGGATTGCAGACAATTTTGGTTGTTCCATTTTCGGCTCAACTTTCCGTGCGCTTTCCTTTTGGAAAATCTCTTGACACTCGTGAGAGGCCGAATGGAAGCTTTACTGAATGGCTGGCAAGTCGAGTCCCGTTCAAAAGATGAAGTTTTGTCGTGAAAAGAGAACATCGCCAGTATAAAAATTGCCCCGGGCATGGTATGGCATAGCATGGCGCGAAGGGAATCACAAAAGTTTGCCATTTGTCCGATTGTTGAGACTGCGGAGCAGGGTGCCTTCCATTCATTTTGACTAAAAAAATGTTTTAGAAAATTATGGAATAATAAGATATTATGGTGGTATTTTGTATGCGTAAGGAACAAGAAAAGATTTTAAAGTTTGTGTTTGACACATAAAACCTGCAAATTTAGCTTTGACAGAGCCACAATGAGCGATTTTCTGATCACCTCTTCGCGAAGAGTGAAGAGCGAAGAGTGGGTGAGATAAATAACAAAATCGCTTATTGCCACTCTCATGCAGCATCATTGGCTGGTATTATGTGTCAAACACAAACTCCACAATCTTTTCTTGTTGCTTACACAAACAAAATATTATAATAATATCTTATTATTCCATAATTTCATAAAACATTTTTATAGCCAAAATGAATGGAAGGAACCCTGCTGCGGAGTATGGACCATGGCCGTTATACCCTGGCCGGTGGGCTCGTTGAGGAAAGTTTGTTTTCTTTGAAAAACAATGTTTTTAAACTCACAAAGCGTTGCATTTTTTACTGGATTTCTTTCGTGTGCGGGAGTAAGTACCGAGAATATTGATCCAAGTGGGCAAATTGAATTTAACTTCACGATATTGCCCACAGAAAAACATTTCATAGGAACTCTTTTACCAATGTATTATGCAAATTTGAAGAATGAGAAACAAGGTAAATATTTCAGTATCATTACTTGCGTGCTCTGGGCCTCCGGATAGCTTCATTAGTGTAGTGATAACTTTATAACAGATACCATACTGGCGAAAATAGGAGAGATTTCCAATCAGGTTACGGGTCAAGACTTTAAAAGATTAATAGTTGGAAAACTCCAAGCATTTTCACGGTTTTCTCTTTTATAAACTAATAAAATGTTGAACGTATCACATAAAGTAATGCTTCCATTCATATTTTAAACAGTATACAATGGAAATGTATCAAAAGCAACAATTTTAAATATAATTCCTGTATTTTCACCAACTTTCAATGCAGTCTGGATTTTATACATGGGGGGTAAATTAAGATACAGTGGCAAATAATTTAAACATATACTGAAGGTAAAATTGACATATGATGGGGGTAACTTGAACATACAGTGGAGGTAATTTGAACCAGTGCTGGGGTAAAATGAACAATGTGCATACTGTTCATTTTACCCCCATCGTAGACGGTTTATTTTACCCATAAAACATCAATTATTTTCAATCGCATATTTAAAATAGGGGAAATGGCTCTAATGTTGGCCTATGGATCTAATATTGGGCCCATCGCTAAAAATCTGCAATTTATCAATTGGATCTAGATAAACGCGTCATTGGGACGTTACTAATGGATATTTTTGGTCGCTTTTGAAAATTTAGACGATTTATGAATTTATGTATGGGCCCACATTAGTGGCATTTAAGCTGACATTACATCCATTTCCCCTAGTTAATTTTTTTAAAACACTTTCAATGCTTAATACATCCTGAGCAATACGTCAAATTAATTAATCTAATGGATAGAGCTTATTGGATTTTGATATTTCACCTCGAAAAAGCTTATGCATTGCAAGCGGAAAATTAGTATCATAGTCAGAACCAGCCGATAATTTTTTTTTTATTGTTCTATAATTTAATAGAATTTGGAACTGAATTTACCTATTTTTGTGATTATGGACCAATTAGTTATACCCCATTTGTTCATTTTACACCAAGGTCCTCTAGGCATTGTTTCTTTATCTGAAGAGGCATATTTTGAACTGAATAAGCATTATTTTGGATATTTTTTTGTTTCTACACCCAACCGGGGGATGTAAGATTCGCTTACAATTATGTGGGATTCATCATCAGAGGATGTTAGTAGAGACCGCATGAACCGAGGATGCGATATACCTAGATGCGGTCCAGTGCAAGAGAATTGGAGGCCGAAAAATGTAGAGTGTATTAGTGAGGTAAATTAGTTATGTCGAAAAAAATAGGAAACAGATTGCCGACTGTTCTCGAACCACGAACGTTGCGATTATCAGACCTGTGCTTTCTCCACTGCTTCTGAATATGAATAGCCTAAAAGCAAAGATGAAGCGCTCATTTTCTCACATACTGGACTTCGTATGCTTTTTCTGCTGGAGAGATTCGAGGCAAGTGTGTGCGTCGTTCTACAAGCTTACTGTTATAGTCGAAAACGTAGATAGAACATGAAATAAAAAAGACAAAAAACCATTACATCGCCTGCATGGTCAATTTCTAACATTCGTTGCGATGTTCCTGAACAGAGAATGATAGGAAACGGAACTAACATTCAGTGTAATAGATTTTTGGTTTGCGTGTACTAAATTATTCGGTTTTGTTGGGTTTTTAAGTTGTGATAGCTAGTAGTTTTTAACGTACTAGAACAACGTCTTCGTGGAATATACTGGGGTGCAAATCAACAAATTGTTACACCGTGTTTTGAAAAACCTTGGTAAACCTCGCGGTTTCGAAAACCGCGATTTTCGTGAACCGACCGATTCACCACGATTTTTTGAGGCATGGTTCGTGTAAAAATTACGCTGTATTTAGGTATGGGCCCAAATTCGGGGCATTTAGGCCGACATTACATACATAAATAATAGCCAAATGCAGATTAGAATGTAATTTTCCTGCTAGTTTATTGGACTTACGATATCAGTTTTTCATTTATTTTATTGAACAGATCAATCACTCCTATTCTGTCTTCCATTCGAAACGGATTTACCATGCAATTTTTTTTTGTTCGGGGAAATCGTTTCGAAAGGAACAGAAAATAGGGGTACGCATCAGCTGTTTCATATAAAACGTTGCAAGCTGCCCTGTAGGCGTTATGTTCACAGAACATAATCCAGGACCATGAGTCTAAATGCGATCCAATTATTGAACATCAATGATTTAATTCAAAGTGTTTTTATGTTACTTCATACACGAAGTTGTATGTTTTCAAATCTACAGGCAAAAGACATAATTCAAATCTCCGCGTACATCGTACGGGTTAGGCAAAGAAGTGTGCGTTTGACTTTGTATTGTCGCATTAATGGCCTTTCGCTCATTTTCAACTTTTATTCAATTTTCATACTGCCGTACTCTAACGGAACTATCTATTATCACACTAAAGCTTCATGTTAGATAGCATTTTGAACCAACTCTATCAATGATTTATCAATAATTTTCAGTTAATAGTTGTATTGCAATTGATCGTTAGATACGGGGATGGTAATTTCTTCTATGGCCATTTAGCCAAATAGGTCTTTCCACCGAACAAAATATTGCACCGATTTTCAATTATGAACGGAATATATAAAATATATAAAATAAATTGACAACAGCTTAGCGCTTAGCTGAATAAAGATTGTGTCGAATAAATAATCAAGCGAAGGCCAGACAAAAAAAATAATAGAACTACAAAGAACTGCTCATGAAGGAAAAAAAATCCTATGAACAACAAATTTAAATGGAATCAATTTTAA